TATAGGGATAATCAATTTTAAACGAAACTAATAAACATTAAAACATACACAACAAGGATAAGTGAACAACTTACAACTTCAGCTTCCCAAGTTTCTCTGGCAGTTTCTTCAAAATATGCCAAATGCACCATGTGCCTAGATCCGGGCATAACTTCAGCCAATGCTCTACGCATTGCAGGTGCTTGATCAGTGAGTATTGCTCGGGGTGGTTTATTGTTCATGGCCAACAACCACTGCTCAAACACCCATGTATAAGTCTCTGTGGTTTCATGAGAAACAAGAGCACATCCAAGCAGGATGGATTGGCCGTGATGGTTGACCCCCACAAAATTAGCAAACGGCAACTCATACTCGTTCGTCAAGTACGTTGCATCAAAGCAAACCGCATCACCAAATTCCTCATAAGCAACACGGCTACGAGCATCAACCCTCATCTAACCGAATAGCATGATAAAAATTTTGGTTGTCCCGTTACATGTATTGAAAGTACCTCATCATGGCTGCAGCATCTACGAGGCTCTAACACAAGGACACCCCTATTACTAGAATGTATGGTGTCAACTGTTTGAACAGTACCAATGGGTGGTGACATAACAGCAGTGCAAGTTTCTACAGAATCTGGAACCAGTGAAGTTCCACTCTAGGGAGTAATGCATTCATTTTCAAGAATCGGAACCAATGGGGATGTATTAGGACTACTACAAGAGTCATTTTGCATAAATGCCATAGAATCACTCAAATCACCATCAATTGCATCCATTTTTTCCTACATTCACAAATAAACCATAACTAAGAAACAAAATTATTTCCACACTGCAATTGCAGACCAAAAATAAAACAACAGAAAATTCAGCTACAACATTGTAGACACCTAAAAATGTCTCCCCAAAACCAAACCCGATGATAAATAACCTTTCACCGCCACTGTTGGTCGGGTTTAGTATTTAATCCCGAGAGTGCTTAAAAAATCGTATTAAATTCATGTTTTTGAAAGTTCCATGGATTAGTTTTGATGTTTGGTAAAAGCATAGTTTTAATTTTAGCCCAAACTCGTTAATTAATTTTAAGCCCAAACCTTTTTATTTTATTATTTATTTTAGGCCCAAACTTTTTATTTTATTATTTTAGCCCGAATAATAAAAGTCAGAAAAAAGCCCGAAATTATCAATCGGCACTTAAAAAGCCGAAAGAAATTAGGGGTAAAAATGAATTTAGACGGAAAAATGGACTGGAACTGACCGTGTCACGGTACAGCCTGACCGTGTCACGGGAACCCTTCCCGTCTGACGGTGGGACTTCTTGTGACACGGGAGGTCTGCCGTGACACGGGAAGTTCCGTGTCCTTTCCGCGTAAACCCTTAACGCATTTTCCGTTTTGTTTTCTGAAAATTTCCCGCGTCACTCCAAAACTGACCGTGTCACGGGAATGTGTACCGTCTGACGGTACAGTCTGACTGTGTCACGGTACAGTCTGACCGTGTCACGGTACAGTCTGACCGTGTCACGGTACAGTCTGACCGTGTCACGGTACAGTATGACCGTGTCACGGGATACTTTTTTAGGGTTTTTATCATTTTAGGGTTCCGTGTGTTCCCTCAGCACATTTCCCTATAAATACCCCCTCATTTCTGATGTACGGGGCAACCAGAATTTGATTATTCTTATTTTCTCTCTTCTATGCTATTAACCTAAACACTAGCCTACCCTTTTCACTTCAAAATTCCTTTTTCAAGCACTCAAAGGAGTCCATATTTTACTCGAGGTTCTGTCCTTAAGCCAAGGCGTGAAAGGTAGAATCGTTTGAGGGTTTGGCCCAAAATCAACTTTAGTTTAATTTAATTTAATTTAATTATTGTTTTATTATTTCCTTGAAGTTACTAACTCGTTTATTATTTTGTAGTTGCAAGCAAACAGATTCAAAGTAAGGATCATGCTCTTTTATTATTATTATTATTTTTCTAACAATTTTATGTTGTTGGGATTGTGATTAAATTGGTATTAATGTTGATTCTATTATTATTTTTATTATGATCACCATATTGCATGTTTAAAGGGAATATGTAATTGAAAATCACGACTAATAAGATAATTTGGACGACCGGTTTAGGATCCTTTTTAATCTTATTATTAATTGAAGTGATCACCAAATTTTTAGAATTATGGGTGCATAATCTTAAACCAATTTAGTTAAATAATAGTTTGGAGCAAATTGAATATTTTGTTTGTATGCCTTTGAGATCGCAGGAATGCTTTTCACTATAAGAATCGAGTAGAGGCCAATACGGGCGAATGTGACTCCATGACTCACTTCGTACCATCATCCCCGATCCTCCTTTCGTGGTTCCGAACCATATGGAGTTAATAATCTCATGGATTATGAATGGGGTGTAACCTTCACGGGTCAATCGTTGTTGCCTTCGTTGTCCCTTATTCGTGGTTGCCTTTTTTATGATCCGTGAACGGTTTACAAGTTCCTAAAAAACTTGTTGGCGGCTCCCTACTTTATTTTTCCCTAATCGTAATGTCAATTCCCACTTCCTATGAGTGCCGAGCATATTCACCATATGCTTTAACGTAGGCGCACTTCAAACGACGCCTACAAACATCCAAACAAAATTTAGGTAATAAGTGCACAATCAAACATTCTTTAAGTGCTTAAACTCAAGCACACTAAAATGGAGTACAAAATCAAACCAAAAGAAAATGCAAACTCAAGTAATTGAAACACCAAATCATTATGCAGTTGCATTGCAATGGAGTGCTTGATAAAACAAAAATTGAATGCAAGCTAAGCTCATTAAATCACCAGAAATAAAACTCAACCAAAACAAACGAAACTAATTCAGCTAACTATAGTAAACTCTAACCAAACACCAACCAAAATCACCATCAATTCAGTGATTAATTCACCAAATAACACCAAAATCAGTAATTTTAAACTTCAATCAAACAATTACAACCAAATATGTCCGTAAATTTTGATTTATTTATTGTTAAATTTTTCAGGTACAAGAGACCCGAAATTACGCACCTTAAACAAGACGACAAGAGTAGATTCACCAATCACTAAGCTAAGCAAAGCTAGTTCAAACACCATAACTACCGTCGTCGGTCGTCGACCTATGAGTCTCTCCAGTTCAGGATCTATGGCATTTTTTACACTTAAACTTCTTACCCTTCAAAACTTCAACATAACGACGTTAACAAATGTAGTGTGCATTTCCACTTGCCAACTCACCTACCCAAATTTAAAAATAATATTAAATTGCAAATTAATGCACTTATTTACGCTTATTGCCATTTGAGTTACATTTGTTGTTACTCATAATGAGTAACCTGGACAAGCTCTGAATTTTGATGTTCAATTATATTTACAAAATTTAACAATGATATTATTTTTATAAAACCACTAGTATATTTAATTTTATTTTTTTATAATTTTTTATATACAGACAATGATCTGGGGAATCGTCCAGGCCAAAAAACTAGTTTACAAATTAAAAATTTGACAAATTGTAGAAGTCACAAAGAGCCACAAGTTGTTAATAAAATTAGAGCTGACAAACGTGTTGTGTCACGCTCGTATTCGTGTTTGAAGATAAATGGGTTGAGCAACCTCAACATTAATTAACTAATCATCTTTGTTGACTTATTTAATTAAACATGTCATAAATCCTTGATAGCTGACACAAACCTATATTTTGTGTCCAATATGTATTTTGTATCGCATTGTTGTGAACTAAAATATATGTTTTCTCCCGTTAGAATAATTACGAACGTACATCACTTTGACTTCTGCCTAGAGTTGTCAGTTTCTAACTCGAATTGAACCGTTAAAATCAACTGTTTCAAACCGATTCAAAAGGAATTGAACTGTTAAAAATCCATTTTTTGGAAATCGAAAACTAGCCCGACCTAATTTTTTCTAACCCGAAACTTGACTGAAACGAATTTGTGCGTATCGTTACTAACCCAACCCATCATCAAGCTAAGCCATTACAACCGAAATTGACAACAATCTTAACTGATTGCGTCTAAGCCTGATAGCAACCCTACCCATTTTAAACCGAAAGTGTTTAAACCCGGCAAAAATCCTATAAACCTGAACCGGTCCAACCCATAACCCGTTGTGATCGAACCATTTCTAACCCATAATTGGTTGAGACTAAACTGTTAACGACCTATAACCTATTGAGACCGAACCATTTACGATCGGTAACTTGTTATGATTAAGTCGTTTACAACTCGTAGCCTAATATGTGTTATGATCTGATCCTTTTCAACCCACTACTCGATTAACCTAACTTATTTACGACTTTACTTGATTATAACATGGTTCGTTCCTACCATTAATTGACTAACTCGATTCGATAATGATTCGACTCGATTTTAACCCAATATGATTTAAAATGAAACCCACTTAAAATTGTGTAAACCCGTTTTAAAATCGACCAAGTTCAATTCAAACCGATTATGACCTTAACCGATCATAATGATCGGGCCCGATTTCACGCGAACTGTTTTAAACAAAAAGCCATTTTCAAACCGACCCAGATTAACCCAAATTGATCATGACCCAAACCGCTTACAACCCGACCCGATTATGAATCGATCTGGTTTGAATCAAACCCACTTTAAACTAGATAAACCCGTTTTCAAAACCGACCCAGTTCAACCCAAACTAATTTTGACCAAACCAACTACAATCCTACCCGAAAAGAAACCGCAATAAAATAATAAAAAAACCAAGCTAAACAGAGCTGATGATTTTCAAACCCAAACCGACTTGCTAATCATTTCAACCTGTTATAAACTGACCTGTTATAACCCAAAATTGATAAACTCAACCCAAATCCGAATTGTTTACACAAAATGACACCCCTACTTCTGCCATATAATATATCTCCCCCAACGGCCCTACCAACAAAAAAAAAAAAAAAAAAAAAAAAATCAGAAAATCACAATTCACGTGGTACATACGTAGTATATTTTTTGTGGCTACACAAAATAATACTGAGATTAGTGGTATTAATGCAGTGTTAGTGGTCGATAATTCCAGAGTTTGAATCTGCTGAGTTGAACGCCTGAAAGGAGAAAGCGGAGACCTCTTACTCCATCTCTGCCGATCCTCTCTTCAGCTTTACCATGTCTGACGAACCATTTCTCACTCGTTGGAGTTTTCAGGTTAATTCCTACTCAAATTTTAGTTTGTATTATTAAATTTTATTTGGGTTTAATTGCTCAACAATTGCTTTGTTTTTTGACTTTTTTTTTTTCATTGAGTTTGGTTGTGATTTTGGAAATTTTGATGTTCGTGAAAATGTGGGGTTTTAATATGATGTTTGTATTTGTTATGATCATCATGAATTGTTTGTTGTTTGATTCTTGGAAAAAAATGGTATAGTTTGACTAATGTAGTTGTCTTGAATATTGGTTGGTTGGTTGGTGCTTGAATTTTTGGGAATTTGGGGTTTTTTTCACTAGGATTTTAAGTTTTTTTATGATGCAAAGTTTGGAAGGAAGAGAGAGCCGAAGCCGGAGGAGGAGGATGCTGCAATGGCTAGTCAGAGCAACGGGAATACAGCAACCAATGGAGGGACTGCGACTCAGAATGGTGGGAGAAAGCGCGAGCTTGCCGTTTACGAGCAGTATAGGAATCAGGTCATATTCTTGTTTGAAATTATGTACATTGTATTAGTATCTATAATCTTTGTTTGTGATAATGTTTGGTGTTTACATTGATTGATAGAGTTGGCATGTATAATGATTTCAAGAGCCACGATTATACATTGATTGATGTCTTCACAAAATGAGTATATTATATCTTACAATTTGTGGTTCTTCTTAGATGTTTGATAAAGTTGATTTTGTTTCATATTGATAGGCTAGTAATGGGACACCCTCAAATGGAGTTTCGGCAAATGGTGCTCAGGATAATATTGTGTAAGATTTTTCTGCTTACTTGTTTGATTATAACTCTATATTTCGTCTTAGATGTACCAGACAATTAGGCAAAATTGTTGAATTAAGGGTTCTTGTCTACTTCTAAGAGTTCAAACGATGCCCTTGTTGCTTAGAGGATGAAGTACTATTTGGCATTGCTAACAGTGACTCATACTCATACCACATCATAATGCTATAAATCTTGCTAATTTACTGCCCAAGTGCATCTATTTTAGTGCTATAATTGCTGTTCATGTAGCAATGCTTTGACATATTCTGGTAGTTACTTCTATCAGTTATATAGTTGTATTAAATTATTCTAGTCATGATGTTCATCATATCTATTTTGTCTAATTTAAGCTATAATTTAAACTGTGTCACTAACAAAGATGTAAGTAAATATATAGAGAAAAAAAATTAGAAGAAGATGCATGATCAAAATTTGGACCCAAACTTCATTAAATTAGTCACATTTAACAAATGTTATTACTATGCTTATGTGGTTGATGAAATGGGTAATGATAGTTATTCGCTCTTGGTCTTGGATTCTCCTCATGACTTGAGTTAGGGATCATTTACTTGCATTATTGAATTCGAATCTACTTGTGCACTCTTGCCATGGTAGAGATTGTTCTTTAGTCTCAAGTTTGGTATCACTTTGTGGTCGTGGGTTTAAAGAATTAAGGGACACTGTGTGTATTGCTCCTTTTTGTAGATGCAAACTATGCCATGAATTGTGTACTTGTTTGCTAGTTAATTACGCATGCCCTTCAATAAAAAGAATATACAAGATTAATTAATAAACCACTTAATATTGTGCTTGTTGCCAATTTCTCTGAATACCCAATTTTATTCCATGTCTCAAATGTTCTCAGTTTGAAGCTACACATGTCCTTATCTGAGGTTTAAAATTATGTACGCCCTTCAACAAAGAGAATATACTTAACTAATTAATGAACTTGTTGAATTTAATTTTTATTTTGAGTTCCTCTGTGGCCCTGAATACCCTATTTAAATTTTCTCATCTTAAATTTCCTCATTTTGAAGCTACTATTATTTGGTTTGAATGGTTTCTTTAGGCTATTTTTGTTGATCCATTATCAACCCATATGTGTTACATGAATTTAATAGTTTGAATTTTTTTAACAATCAATTCCATTCAACTTGTGTTTTATTAAAGTGTTATGTCTATCGAAATCCAGAAATGTAATTGCACTTTTTTTTTTGCTCAATGTGCTTTCCATTTTATTTTTCTTGCTTCCCAGGCAGAAGCCCATGCTTCCTCCATTTGAAGATGCAGAAACACGTAACCTAGCAGAAAGTCTATGCAGGTGGCATTCAATTTTCAGTTTATAATCTTTTATGCTCTCTAATTTTTTTTTTAAATTTAATTTTACATATATATTCAAATTTTTTACAAAGAATCAGGAGTGTTAATTTATTTAACTTGACTTTAGTGTCGTAATAATGAAAAATGTGATACTGTGACACTTTTTTTTGTCTCATATACAATGGAAGCAGTATGTATAATAGTTAAAAATAAAAATATAAAAAAAATAAATTTTGACACAAGCTTAAAATAAAAAAATGTGTGTAGCTTAATGTCTTTTTTTTTTTTTTTTTTTTTAAAAAAAAAAAAAAAAAAAAAAACTGTTTAGCATTTTATAGGACGCTTTGCTCATTGCAACCTTTACAAAATTAGATTGTCATTTACAACCTTAAAAATTAATACATTTAAATTTTATACCATGTAATAACTATTTTTGATGGTTGATTCTGAAATATGTCGTTTGTATTTCTACCATTTCACTGATTGACACGATAGCATCATGAACGCCATCAATGAAGTCGTTTATTGGAATTATACTCCTAAAAACTCTAACAAGTATCAAATTCAAATGACTTTGTATAATTTATTTTTAGCAAGGTAGTAATTGACCAAGTCACTTGTACAAAAGCTATAAGTGACAAGTTTTCCTTTAAAAAAATGATATTAATCATCTCCTGTTTTAATTTTTTTTTTCTTTTTATATTATCCTGATTTCATTATTTTATAAATGAAGCCACTTGTATGACTATGGGTCAAAGGTCATGATGTAATTGTTGTGCTTGTGTACAGGGACATTATTCGCGGGAGTCAAGATGTCAATTGGGAGAGCATAAAGGGTCTTGAGACTGCTAAACGTCTTCTTAAAGAAGCAGTTGTCATGCCTATCAAATATCCTAAGTAAGTCTTGAATAACACGTATGGCTTAGAGAATTCTAAACCTTTTAATTAATTGCGTGTATTATAGGTGTGATATTATATCCTTTAATGCTGCCTAGAATTATTGATAAGGCAAATGGATGTTCTGATGTGATGATGTATTTTTAGCTATAATAAGCTAAATTAAATGCTTGATCTCCACTCTTAACTTGGAAATAACGGGTACTTTTGACATTTATCATTGGTAGCCATTTTTTTTCCCCGTTTAGTATTGAACTTCTACGATTTTTTAAACGTAGCATTAATGATGATTTGTGGTTGTAGTTCTATTCATTCTAATTTATTTTAAACCAAGGCTAACATTTCAATTATTTTTGAAAAAATAAGAACTTATCCTTCTCTCTCTCTCTCTCTCTCTCCTCAACGATGACTCTGCAACTCTTCCCAACTGTATTAATGGAAAACCCAGCTTTCAAGAACATAAATGGCGGAAAAGTTATCCAGATGAAAGCAAACTGAGTTACCTGCCCAAGACATATAGCAGCTATAGTCCAAGTCTGGCACCATCCATTACAATGACACATAAGAAGAGTCCATAGGTAAGTAGCTCCTTCAGTCACATCCTAGACTAGAGCACAACTCAGGGCCACGATGTTGCAAGTACAATCTCTTAGGGTTTGCATTTGTACCAGTATTGTAACCTAGGGTAATACTCTGCTACTCATCATTTGGCGGGTGCCAAGCAAATTCTGGGTCACCTGTCTCATGAAACTTTTCATAATCAATGGTGCCTTTGCTCAATGTTTATTGTAGTCCTTTAGGATCACAACTTTTATCAGCTATGACAATTAATTGGTGGCTTAAAGTTCCCTTCGCTGTTATCAGCCACAATAATATGCTTCCTTTGCCAAAGTAATGAATTCTTGGACGACTTCTGATGCAAAATGGCCAAGCAAGAAAGCAATGGCCTATGTATTAAGTATATTGACTGTGTTCAATACAATCAATTATATGTCCTGGAATGTTTGGAGGGTTTATGATACCTATTGGTAAAAATTTGACAAATTCAAAGATATTATAAATGATGATACATGTGAGTTGTTTGAGGATATGCCTTAGAAATTTGCTTTTGCTTACTATGCGTTGATTTCTTCTTTTATTCACTTTGTTCAGAGTTTAAGGAGAGAAAAAAATTTAGGTTTTGGAGTAGTGGTGAACTGGTGATGGTGTCATGGTGGTGGGCAGGGAGAGAGGAGAGAGAAGAGGATTGCGACTGATGGCGGGTGAAATATTTAATTGTGGAGAGTGAAAATGTAAGGTTTGTAAATGGTGGTAAAGTTGAGTTATGAAGAGAGAAGTGGGGATAAAGAGAAGAATTAATGAGTTAACTATGGTTAGTGTAGGTTCGGTTTAACAGAAAAATTAAACAAAAACTTTCATTACTTATTTAATGTAAAAAATCAAAAGGCTTCCTATTGTAATTGGAAAAAAAAAAGGCTAATAATGATTAAAGTCAAAAGTATAGACTATAAATGTGGAATTTTCTTAATTTACATGCTAGTAAGTATTTTGGTTAAAGTAGGCTTATAAGTTGTGCATAGGGTGAAGGGAGTATAAGTGTAGATATTATTTCCTCCGCCACGGATTTGCAGCACCACCTACCTTATTATGCTTTCCCAGATTACTTGCTAGAATTTGTCAAAGGAAAGAACCCAAAATTTTTATTCCATTATTTCTCACTTGCTTTAAACCATTTTAGTTGATACTTTCTAAATAAAGATGAGATTAAAAATTTGTCCCTCACACTCTAAACTTTAAATAAGCCTGGTTCACATTAATTTATTGTGGCCATTTATCAAGGGAACTATGTTTAAATGTTGCTATGTAAACTTAAAGGGTACTGTGTTAAAATAAAGATTATTTTGTTAAAATAAAAGTCATAGGGTTATAACAAAAGTCAAGAGATTAATATATTTTGTAATGAAAGTTTTAATATACTAGTTAATATGAATAATAAAGCTCAATTCAATAATAACATTGGTTGGCACATTATTGTGGACGTGAGGTCCAAACAAGTTTTAATAAAGGTCACTATGTTAAATTATGGTCACTATATTCAACATAATGTCGATTGACATGTGTGGACCTCAGGTTCACAATAATATTATTGTGAATCCAAACTAGTTTTTTCCTCCTCACACCCCTTTTAAAAGCTATGGCTTAATTTCCTCTAACTATAACTGGAAATTGAAAAATATTCCAATGCAAACTAACTAAATTTAATTAAATTGTCAATTGTTTTCATAAAATTTGTGCCTTTCAAATTGGTGTGTCCTGGAGTACGAGACAAAGGGAGTATCTTATTGGTTCTTTTGCACTTAAAAAGTTGCAAAACTTTTTTCCACTGATTTTCTTTGTAATGTACCTGAATCATTGGATTATATGCTATTAATCATTGTAATTGTTGAATGTTGCGATCTGTGTATAGTTGCTACCTGCCTCTATTATTATCTAATGATGTTATTTATACAAGTCTGTTGTAAAATATGGCTTTCCTATGTCACTCTGTGAATTTGACGGATGCATTTCAAAATAATTCTACTTTTTTTTTTCTGCCTAATGCAAATATACCCATTATTTCTATTTATGAATGTTACACTTTACCATAACTATTATCTAATTAGAATATGTACCCTTATGACACTGGCCATTATCTTCAAGTTAACTGTTGCTATTTAGAAATTTCTGCATGGGTTAAAAAATGTCTACAAATGCAATTTTCCTACTGATAAGTTGAAGTCCATGAATATCAAATTGACTCTTTTCTGTAGCGTTAGAAAGAAAATGTTAGTCGTACATAGTTCTACATTATTAATCAAATAACCTAATTAATACTAATGCAGCTGGACCTCTCTTGAAAGATGATGTTCTATTTCTGATTCATATTTCACATATGCTGATTGTTGTTGGCTTGTTTCAAGGTATTTCACTGGACTATTATCTCCATGGAAGGGCATACTTCTGTTTGGCCCCCCAGGAACAGGAAAAGTAAGAAAAACTTCTGACTTGGGTTTTCTCAGTCTGCTTGATTATATATTGTATGCTTTTGACCCTTCCGTAGTCTGTAGTTTTCATGTTGCTATTGCTTTGGGAATTAACGTTAAATGCATGGTGCTCAGCTAAGTAGTTTCCCTTGTGTTTTTAAATGAATTGCAACTTCATAATTTATTTTCTCTTCATTTACAAGAATTTTTGTTTTTTTTTTATCGAATTTAATTTCTTTCTCTCTTTTGTGCAACTCAATTGGCATACCTTTTTTTTATTTATTTATTTATTTATTATTTTTATTTTTTTTTCACTTTTGCCTCTCTTCTATGTCTGATTCACCTTTCGATGTGGGCAGACTATGCTGGCAAAGGCTGTCGCTACAGAGTGCAATACCACATTTTTCAATATTTCAGCATCATCTGTTGTTAGCAAATGGAGGGGTATGTGAGAGAACTTTTCTTGATTTATATCACATTTACGCTTTTCCTATTATACTAATTGAACTGGAGGCTAATTCTAGCTGGATAATGTAAAACCCTGTGATGAGTATGTAAATGACATATTAGAGTCTATGTTTCCTGCTTATCATGAAGCATCCACAATAGTATTGAATTTGTTGTTTGACATTTTTGTATTGACACAGGTGACTCAGAGAAATTGGTGAAAGTACTTTTTGAGCTTGCCAGGCATCATGCACCATCTACTGTTTTCATAGATGAGATTGATTCAGTTATTAGTCATCGTGGCGAAGCACGTAGTGAGCATGAAGCTAGTAGGCGTTTGAAAACTGAGCTCCTCATACAGGTGATGTTTGTATGCAGAACTGTTTTGGTTCTTAATTTCACTCATTACAGCTCTATGAGTCAGCTCATAGAGCTACTTGTATTACTTTGTTGTTAACAGAATTTTCTTTCTGGTTTGCTTTTAGTCTACAAAATGTTATCACATAGAATAAAGTCAAAATCAAAATATATTAAGCATTTTTTTGAAAAAGAGATAACATAGGCCTCATTTCTTTATTATAATAAATTAATAATTGCAGTAACTGTCACCTTTTAATAAATTGATGTACTAAGATTTGGCTCAGAACTTTTGTTTGAATTATTTTTCTTTCGAGTTTAAAGTTAACTCTTTTACTGGATTTTCTATCCCCCAAAGGCCCAAACTTTTCTTCTTTTTAGTTTGCTTTTATTTTTCAGAATTTTCTCTAGTCTCTGTACTCAAACCATATATACAGCAAAAATCTTTTTCCAATGTATCTCCCTCTGTTTTCCTCGGGCAGAGTTCCTATGACAAATGAAAGATGATAAGTAAATGAAAGGAAAGGAAGGAAGAATTTCTTAGCTATTTCATCCCACTTGTTTTCTTTATTGCTGTCTTACCTTCTCTTCACTCTCCTTGGAACCAATTTCTCTCCTCCAACAGATCCATTTCATCATAAGCTCAGTACAAGTCTACAAACGTTTAAGGAAGTCATTTTATGTTCAATGAATTAGGCCATAGGATTTGGAATATAACACATATGAAAATGGCCTCTTAATAAGAAATTCACTAGGCCCATATTGTATTGTGTGTGCTGGATTTATGTTTCTTGTCCCAAATGGTCAATATGGCTGCTTGCTCCTTTCAGATTTAGCAATCCACATAAGCCCTGTGAACATTGAAGGAGATTTCTTTTACTGATGTGTTGTGTGAAGAATGATTGTGTCTGTTCTCTGTGATTTCTGACGCCTTTCACAGCAATTTTTCTTTGCAATACTAATGTGGGTTACAATCAGTTCTTTCCATATAAACATGCTGAGGAATATGCTATATAGAAGCAGATTTCTTATCCTATATCCTCAAATAAATTTAAGATCTATTTTACTCTACCTATGGCAGATGGATGGCTTGAGCAAAAGCAACGAACTTGTTTTTGTCTTGGCTGCAACAAATCTTCCTTGGGAACTGGATGCAGCTATGCTACGGCGACTTGAGAAGAGAGTATCCTCTGTTGATTTGAATGTAGTTAATTTGTTGTTTCAGCAACTTTACTTTGTTCTGAATTAGTTTAACATTGGTTTTTGGAGCTGACTTTCTGAAATCTGAAGAGTACACAATGCTTTTCAAATATAATTAAAAAATAATAATTCTGTGTAGTTGAGAATTTAGGTCGTCTAAAATTGACAATCTACAGGCGGGAATGTGGGATCTTCGCACACTAGTAGATAGGTGTTTGGCACTTGCTCCTTTTTTCATACAACTTTACATTTTGTGTTTTATTGAGACTAAACTGCACAATGCCATAACAGTACCAGAGTTATTACTAAGCTTTCCTTGACAAGATTGGAAAAGATACTTGTACCCCTTCCTGACCCGGAAGCACGAAGAGGTATGTTTGAGGAACTTCTGCCATCAACACCTAATGATGATCAAGTTCCATATGATGTAATGGTGGAAAAAACCGAAGGATACTCAGGATCAGACATCAGATTGGTGTGCAAAGAGGCTGCCATGCAGCCACTTAGGCGATTGGTGACAGTCCTTGAACAGAAGACAGAAGTCATCCCTGAGGATGGTATGTAACTTTCCATACCTTTGGTCTTGATGCTCTGTTGCTTTTCAAAACAACTTCTGTTTCCTTTTTTATCTTAACAATTACTTATTGCACAAATATTAAGAAATTAGCAGAGCGAGTGTTGATGTGGTGAGTGGGTGTGAGATTAAGTAGGTTTAACCGTTTAAGTAAGAGTATGAAAAAAATGGGTGAGTGAAAAAAAGAAAATTTTGCGAATAACTACCATTTAAATGACCACTTTTGAGAACAACTACCATTTAAAATTTTCTTTTGAAAAAAATACCACAAAAACACAAAAAATTTGAGTAGCACTACCACATTTATTGTTTCCGACAATAATCTCCGTTTTCGGGGCATACTTTAAAATTTTCCCTCAAAAAACCCAAATTAAATGATAATATTGCACTACATTAACCCTTAATTGGATTATACACTTCAATTGCCCCAAATTCCCCAATTTTGTAAAGCCCATAATTCAATTTTTTGACCATAAACCCTAAATTTTAAGATTTAATTGAGAAATTAAATAAACTATAATGCAAAATTAAAGATTATTGACCTATAATTGTGTTTTACTATCGAAATCTCTTATTTTCTATACCACAATTGATTGAAATTTTATAAACTAGGTTTTCTCAACCGGAAATTCTTTCCGAAAAATAAAACGTGGTAGTGCTACTCAAAGTTTTTGTAACTTTTTGGTAGTTTTTTTAAAAGAAAATTTTAAATGGTAGTTGTTCTCAAAAGTGGTCATTTAAAAGGTAGTTGGCAAAATTTCCTGAAAAAAATGATGGATAAACTAAGAGAGAGCGACTGAAAAAAAATGTTAATACTGTGGCATAAGAGAGGTAAGGTAGTAAAAGTGATTTGTCAAAAATGGAATAAAGTGATAGGAACTTTATTAACCTATCAATATAGAAAGTTTAAGATTATTCAGAAACAGGGATGGCATTTCTTAAAATGCATGTGTTGTGTGACCATAATTTGTAGAGAGAGATTGGATTTTCCCTAGATGTAAAAATTGTTAGTGAACAGAATTGTTTTATTTTCCCCTTTATCTCCATGCAAGGTAATTGAAAGGTAAAGGGTAGGAGAGTAATTATATTGTATCAGATCTGAGAAGATTACTGATATTTTTACTGTAAGCTTGCCGAAAGCTTGTGTTAGGGCCAAAGTGCCAAACTGATATTTTTACTGTAAGCTTGCCGAAAGCTGGTGTTAGGGACTTGGAGGAGGCATGATGACTCATAACCTTGTATAAAATCTTATTAGAAATAGTGTCCTCTTTCTCCCAAATAAAATGCCTGTTTCTTTAGTGGGAAAACAAATCTTATGTCTTCTACTCTAATCTAACGCCTAACATATAACATTTTCCGATTTGTGGAGGCAATTGGTTGGTTCAGAGTAATATCATCCATATATACCTTATCACACTCTCCAATCTGTGGGGACAATTGGGATCATAGTACATGATGTAGTGGAAGAAAACCTTTGTATATTTTTGATCCCAAATTTGACAGAGTGGAAAATTTTGTCCATGACGCTTATTATGCTCTATGTACTCATTGATCTCCAATGCTTTTTCATGTAGAATTGCCTCCAGTTGGACCAATTGAACTCAAAGATATTGAACTGGCCTTGAAGAACACCCGTCCATCAGCTCATCTACATGCACACCGTTATGAGAAGTTTAACGAAGATTATGGGAGTCACATAATCCAATAAGAGCTACAACTCATATCATCAATACGTTGCACATTTGATCACAGTTGCGTTTCACTAGGGGCAAGTGCAGTTTGTATTTATGGCAGGTCGACTCAATTTCGTTAATGAGATTAACTTCAGCTGAATTTTATGGAGTTCCCACCTTGGTCTCAAGTTTGTGAATTGGGTTGACAATTCATTCCTTATTGTAGTTTTTGGTCCAAGATAAAGGCCGAAGGGTCAATAAATTGTTGTTTTTAAAAAAAAAAAAAAAAAACTCTTAAAAAATCATCAATTTTATTCATGAAAATTTCTAAAATGTTTAGTGCTTATTTTTCTGATGTTGGATTCCTGTGATATCGATTATCGAATCCATTTAGGTTGCATTTTGGTATTAATTGAATTTTATGTATAGTTTCAACTGTAAAAATTGGAATATTCAAATTATTTTATTTTATTTTTTTGGTTTGGTTTGGCAGTTGAAATTGAACTTTGTAGGAAGTAAATGTTACTCTTTTCTGTTACGAATTATTACTCTGAGCCATTCATCCTATTTCTGATGAGATGACTTTCAAATTTAATGAGTATAAGGGAGAACTTTTTAGAGCTCAGGTGAAACAATAACAAATGGTTATAATATAAAGAAAAAGAAAAAATTGTTGGGAATAATAACCTTTAATATCCTCAACAAGCCACTAGTAATTTGTCCGAGTTTTGTAAAATAGGTTTAAAGTTTATCTTGTTTAAAGAGTACGACACAAGGATGATTCTACTAGATCATTTTTCATGTTGACGTGGCATGTTATGGTTGGTCAATTTTTTATTTATTTTTAAAAGATAGATTATACCATACATGTATGTATTGTTAAATATATGTATTTTTTTTTATAAAATACATAGTTATAGAATTATTTATTTTTATTTTAAAAAATTATTTTCGAAATTCTTCCATGAGCGCACTTTCCGGATCTTCAATTGGAGCACAATTCGAAATGGTTGTTGCTATTGAAGGTCGAAATTATAGTAATTGGGTGATGAATTGCTGTAATTGATGGTGGATTGGAGGTCCTAATTGTCGCAATAGCTGCTGCGTTTTGGTGTTGTTGGTGAAGCTTGGATTGAAGGTGGTGGTTGTTGCTACGATTGGAGGCCGGAATTGCTGTAATTGGGTGGCGAATTGATGTAATTATCGGTGGATTGAAGTTCTAATTGTCGCAATTGGTGCTGTGTTTTGGTGTTGTTGGTCGAGTGTGAATTGAAGGTGGGTGTTGCTGCGATTGGAGGCCGAAATTATTGTAATTGGGTAGTGAATTGATGTAATTGATGGTGGATTTGAGGTTTTAATTGTCACAATTGCTTCTGCGTTTTAGTGTTGGTGAATTGAAGCGGCGTGGACTGAAGGTGGTGGTTGCGTTGGTGATTGAAAATGGTGATGTTATGCGGTTGATAGCTGGGCGGGGGTGATTGATTGCGGGCTGAAGGATGCGGCAGATTGGGCTGTTGTAGCAGTGCGGTGGGTGGAGCGACGAGAAGGCTACTGGTGGCTGCTCTGCTGTCCGGCGATTGGAGGTAGTTGTATTGCTGCTTGGTGGTGCGGTAGTGGTGAGTTGTTGGGTTGCAGGCATCCGGTTTGGGAGTTTTTGTTGGTGGTGTAAAGGTAGGGGCACAAAGGGATTTTCATAATTATGATTAAGTATTTCTTAAAAAATACATGTATTCAAAAAAATACATAATATGAAAACAATTTAAATGTATTATGGACCTTAAAAATAATTCAAAATAATAAACAAAATATTTAATATGGGCCAATCAAATTTCACCACATCAGCATATTGCGATGCCATTTTTTAAGAATGACATTGTAGAATTTTTATACAACACAAAGTTTGTATTATCTCTACCTTATAAAAAGTAGGAGATCAATCTTATGAATATTGTACGGACTATTTCTCTCAAAATGTTTGTTTACCTTCTTACCCTCATATGTAATTTTGTAATCTTTCTTTAAGACCCATTAATAATTAGAAATTAAATGAAGAATGGATTAACAATAAAGTTTAAACTTTTCTGTACTTAATTTAATGGGGGTTGTGGTTTAATTACATGAAAACATTAGTCACTAGACAATGAAAGGTTGTTGCTTTATGTGAGTTTTTTTTTTCTTTATTTTGTGAAGGTCAAAATTAACGACTTATACATAATTGTGTTTTAAGGACATTGAACCTAATGAAATTAATCTATTATTGTGCTGAAGTAGATGTACTCGGAAAAAAGGAAAAGAAACTGACTACAGAGAAAAAGGGATGAAAGCAAGAAGGATTTCAAGGGAATTATAGGCTGCATAAAGCTTATTTTATTGCAAAATCAAATTGTTAGAAGCATTTTGTCCGAGTTTATTTTCTGATTATTTTTTAACTTTTGAGCATTGTGAAATCATGTGTATCTTACTATGTATTGTGATGTACTTTATAATGCTATACGATGTACCTTGTTGTTTCCAATTAGTTTAATGAGCCCGAAAGGTATATTAGTATCATAAATTTCTATATAAAGTGTTAGCACGTTTTTTTTTTCACTACTTAAATAAGGGTGTAGATTATTTTATATGATTTCCCATAATATCCTACAACATCAAAGTCAAGATCCCTCAGCAGTAGACATTTTATTCCATGTGAAGTGAAAACACAAGCCTAAAAAAATTAGGGCAAAAAAATAGAAAGATTCTTTTATCGGCTCATTGACTCCATGTCAAGTGCAAACACAAGCCAAGGAAAATTAAGCCGAAAGGGCTGGCCACTCTGCGCGCAACGCGCTTACTTCCCTAGTTCCTATAAAGTTTCATTATGTTTAAATGTTTAATTACCCTTACTTGAACACCCACTCGATCTAGTACCGCTCTCTCCTCAGTGCCTTCCCTTGACCCCTTCGTAGTGTTTCCTCTTCCCACGTAATACCACCATTACACCTGATAATCTTGACCCAAACTCGATGACCTGACAATCCTATCCCAGACTCGATGGCCTGACACAAATGACCCAACATATGACCCTAAATTAATCCAAAAGCATCAACCCGAAATTAATTGACCCGATCCGACCCATACCCATCCAAAAATGGAGTTGGCCCAATCCTGACCAGACTTGTGAACTGACCCAATCCGAAATTAACCCGAAGTGTTTGATCCAAACAAACTCGATACCCGAAATGGCCTGAATAGACCCGATATCCGAAATGTCTAGAAATAAAATTACTTTATAACTGAATTAAAAATGTCTGGTACATAAAATAACTCAAAATTTTCATTTTCAACTGTAGTTAAGCTCATAAACCGATTTGATAGTTCTTATTATAACAACAACAAAATATAAATTATTAATTTGAGCTTGATCTACAAATAAAACAACCCAAACATGACCTGACTAGATTTTGACCCAACCTGCATATGATCCGAAGCTACTTGACTTGAAAATAGTCTAACCCAAAACGTACCGACCCGAAACCTGACCAGAATCATACCCTAAACCCGAAATGACTTGACCCAACCCACACTCGATCCAAATGTTAACTGAACCAAAATGACCCAACTCGAAGTTGACTCATCAACCCATACCTGACCCGAACGACCCATTACCAGGTCTACCCACCACCAATGCACCTACTCTCTCCTCATCCGCCGCATTAGCCTTCTCCCTAATCCATATTGGCAACCTCCTTCCAACTACTACACTCTCAATTACCACACCACGACCACCGCATATTACATCTTAGATTTGAAGTTTTTATTTTGAATTCAATATGAACGGTATGTTACTCCATATTTAGACTTCAATATCTTTTTTTTATTTGAGCAAATAGAGTTAAATATCTTAATTTAACAAGATTTTCCCTTAATCTATTTATCTTCTCATACGGTTTTGGTCATTGATCAGTGGTTTGAGCGAGCCATTAGAGTCAAAGTTAATTGGAGTGATTGTGTTATACTGTTATTTCCATTGATCCTTCAGAGTTAATGGTTATTGGGTTGGTTGTGTTATTTTGGTGTGAAGCAAGGATGGGTGGCTGGCTGTTAAAGGGATTTGGTTAAATGTGGGTGGGTGAAGGCTATGGACTAGTAGTTGGGCGGGCAAGCTCAGGTGGGTAAACATGAAACAGTTTGTTGTTTTGACTACATATCTACTATTCCTTGATAGGGGTAGCAATTCAGGTTAGTAGGTTGGGTTCGGGTCAGATTTTGGGTCGATTTCGGATTATGCTTAGAAACCATAAAAAAGTGAAAACTTAATATTTAATATGAAATATGAAATTTGGGTCAAATCGGGCGAATTCGGGTTGTTCGGGTTCGGGTTTGGGTTTTGGTTCGAGTTCTCTCAGTAACTTCAGGTCGGGTTTAGGTTGAGTTATCGGGTCGGGTTAGATATTGCCAACCCTATTCCTTGAATTTTGCTCTAGCTCTCACTTTGTTGCAACTTGCAAATAAAGAAACAAATGATACATGTTAATGTCATATGAAGCATCCAACTTTTGAATAGCAAAAAAATAAAATGAGACTCTCTCTCTAGAAATGTGGCCATCGGAGATTAACCCAAACACTTTGGTGTTTAGGGCTCTGGAAGCTCTTTTCTTGCGGAGAGCAAGTCAGAGTCCTCTACTTGTTGTAGTTAGTTTAGCGGTATGTCTAGTTGTCACTTTTTTTTATCAAGTCTACCAGTCGTTTTAAGCAATCAATAGGTTTCTTTTATGTTCTTCATAGCATGGATTCGTTCGTGGGAATGGTTGTTACAATGGAAGTCATATCCAATCATGAAGCTAAGCAAGGCTAGCTAGCTAATGAATCGGTTATGGATATAGATACTGTAAGGAGGGAGATCCCATCGTAAGGGGGTCGTTTCTTAGATGCTCATGGCCATTTAAAAGTCTAGGACTTTACACTTGTTAAGGTGTAGTAGGATTTGAATTCATGACTGTTTGGGTGACCTTGAATTAGAATTGATTCTATCATCACGCTTTTTTATAAGACACAAGTAAGAGTCGCCAATGAGTTTTGGGAAAACTCATAAACCTCGTTCATGCCTTTCTTCCATGTGGAGTTCATGGAATAATTAGCACGAATCGTAAGTTTACCCATGCCCAAATTGGTCTACATAAACCAGATATGAGTTTGGGAGCGAGGGTACTAAAATAACGTTCATTTTAAGGAGGAATCGCTATTCTAGCCCTAGTACGGCCTCTACTAGCTCTTCCTTTTTTCTTACAATTTCATCACCAAACAAATATATGCAATGCGATAC